AGAGACCCTTCCCAGTCAGGACCCGCCGAGGTCCCCTCCCCCGACGTCACCCCCATCCCCAGCCCTCTCTGGGACCGCCCCTCCCCTGGACCTCTTCCCTCCCCGGGACCCTCCGTCACTACGCCCCTAGTGCGGGGACCCACGGTCCCGGCGGCCTGGGCTGTGCTGCCCCTCGCGTGTGCGTGGCCCCCTCCTCCGTCCTCACTGCGGGGCGCCGAGAGGGCACAGGCTGGGGACAGGGGCTCCGAGAGGCCTGGCCTTTCTGGACCCCTCCTCCCGGGTGCGCCACGCCCTCCCCACGCGCGCTCCGCTGTGGCTCCGGGCTCTGGTGCGCTGGCCTGCAGTCCTTGGGAAGGCCCGCGGGTGTGCTCTCTGCTGTCGTTAAAAGCAAGTTTCTGGAGCTTTTCGTCTGCACTCTTGGGGTCTGTGTTTTTCAAGTGTAAGATCTGCTCCGAGTTGAATGCTTTGCGTGCAGGCTTCCTCCGATACCAGCTGCTGCTGGAGGTTGTCCCACCCCGCAGCTGAGACTGGAGCACAGCACACACGGGAGGCAGAGCTGGGGCTGGGGTGGGCCTGCCGGGAGCCCCGGGTCGGGGGGCCATGGTGGGGGCTCGGAGGAAGCCTGCCCTCCCCTGCCGTGGTGTGAGAAGGTCGCCCTCCGGGAGCCTCGGGTCTGCAGAAGCAGTCGGAGCTGCTTTCGTTTTAAGCTGCTCTCCTCTGGGTCCTTTGTCCGAGGCCAAGTGTAAATGCCTTCTTTCTGTCTTCTAGGTGGCCTCCTCTTACTGCAGGTTAAATGCAGTGGAATACACAGACTACTCATTCCTCCAGGGTGTTTAAACTTACCTCTTTCACGTGGTCGAGGTCCATGGCCCGGTTGGGCTGAATAAACTTGTTTTAACTACTTCCAAAACGACTGGATGGCTGCGCCGCACGCCCCACCCTTGCCCGCCGCGCCCTCGGCGCCTCCCGGGTTGGGGCTCAGGCTCCTGCAGCCACGCTCTCCTCCAGGCCTGCGGCGGAGGGGGTGGGAGGCCCACTCCCGGGCCATCGCTGTGGAAAGGAAGCCTTGTGGGTCAGTTGGGGAACCAGTTCCGCCTCGAAGGGGACTGACTGTTGTGAACTGTGGTGGTGGTTTTTAGGGTTTCTCTTCTCTTTCTTTTCTTTTTCACTCACACGTTCACTTGTTTACTAAGAACTCACCCGGGGCCTGCCGTTTGTTCTCGGTGCTTTTCTCTGCCTGGTCTGCAGCCGCTGCCCTGTTTGTTTGCTTTGTGTTCTGGTCCCTGCATTGCTTTGTTCTAGACACCCCTGTATCTTTTCACTAGAAAAGCAAATGCATCCTCTCTCCACATGGACCCTAATTAATGCCATATGCAAAGATTAACTCAAGATGGATCAAGGACCTAAATGTAAGATCCAAAACAATGAAACTTTCAGGAGAAACCATAGGACAAAAACTCCACGACATTGGACTTGGCAGTGATTTCGTGGATATGACACCAAAGGCACAGGTAACAAGAAATAAAAATAGAGAAACCAGACTTCATAAAAATTAAAAAATTTTGTACATTGGAAGACACTATGAATAGAGTAAAAAGGCAGCTCATAGAAGGGGAGAGGATATATGCAAATTGCTATCAACCGGAAAAAAAAACCAGACGGCAGCAAATAAAAGAAGAATTTATTTGGGGTCCTAAGAATTGCAGTTTGGGAGACACAGATTTGGGTAAAACCAAAAGAGCTTTCTGGGGAAAAGAAAGAGTCAGGGGCTTATGAAAGAAAAGCCAAAAGGCTGTGCTCTGACACAGAAGGAAGTGTTTGTCCTTCAGGAGTGGCTGTCCCATAGGTGTCCTGAGTGTGTGGCAGGTGTCATGGACGCCATCGTCAGGACAGGATGGAGTCACAGAGTCAGATTCCATCCCCGTCCTCAGTGGCCTCATGGCTCCGTTTGAGATACTCTCTGAGCAGCACCGACCCCATTTTGATTTTCCTTTCTCATCGTATATCTGATAGGGTTCAATACCCAGAATATATGGAGAACTCCTACAGCTCGGCAACAAGAAAACAAGCAACCTGATCAAAAAATGAGCAAAGAGCTTGAGTAGACATTTCTGCAAAGAAGATCCACAAATGGCCAATAAGCACATGGAAGGATGCTCAACACCACTAACCAGGGAACTGCAAATTGAAATGACAGCAAGAGACTGCCTCACATCCACTAGGATTGCTGCTCTGAGAAAAACAAAGCAAAAACAAAACAGGAACAGCAGGTGTCAGGGAGGATGTGAAGTGGAAATGCTGGAGGAATTGCTGGCTCAGGAAGCCTGTCTGTTGATGCCTCGCTGTCTTCTGTGCATGGCTTTGTCGTCAGGCGGTGATGGCAGGATGGCTGCAGGAGTTTCAGGAGTCAGATCGGCTCCTGTCTGTCCCTGAGAAGTGAGGCATCCTCGCGCAGACATGACCTACCCTGTTACCTGTCGGTTCTCCATATGTAGCAGCTGTGTGGAAAACAGTCTGGCAGTTCCTCCAAAACTTAAAAATATAATTACCACATGATCCAGCAACTCTCCTTCTGGGAATCGACCCAAAATAATTGAACGCAGGGTCTCAGAGAGGTACTTGTACACCCACGATCACAGCAGCATTACTCACGACTGCTAAAGTGGTGGAGCAGCCCAAGCGCTGGTCAGTCCATGGATGAGTGGATGAGCAAAACACGGTGTGTACACACATCGGAGCAGTAGTGAGGCTTGAAGAGGAAGGAAGGCCTGGCCCCAGCTACAGCGGGAATGACCCTGGAGGACGTCACGCTCAGTGACGTAAGCCAGTCACAAAAGGACAAATACTGTGTGATCCACTTATGTGAGGTCCCAGGAGGAGCCAGATTCATACTGACAGGAAAACGGGGGTTGCCAGGGCCTGGAGAAGGAGGGGTTAGTGTATAATGGGGCAGTGTTTCAGTTTTACAAGATGAAAAGAATTCTCGAGATGGATGGTGGTAATGGTTGCACATTATGAATGTATTTTATACCACTGGACCATAAACTTAAATATGGTTGAAATGGTAAATTTTATGTGTATTTTAACACCGTGAAGAAATGGAAAAGGAATCTTATCTGTAAATGCAAGGTGGCACCATGGGTCGGATCCCGGAACTGAAAAAGGGTATTAGTGGAAAACCTGGTGAAACCCCCGAACGCTTGGCATTTGGTTGCTAGTGATGTGTCCGCGGTGGATTCTTGGACTTGAGGTGAGCTGCAGCCTGCAAGGTGCTGGCACGGGGAGACCGGCTGGCGGTTTAGGAGCTTCTGCCTCTGGACTGCAGCTTTTCTGGAAATGTCAAATAATGCCCAAACAAACCTTTATTTGAAAAAATAAGAAAGCAAATGCAGACTTAGTCTCTGGGGGACGAAAGGGGCTCACACAGGGGCCCCAGCCCCATCGGAGGGGTCTCTAGGGGCCGGAGCACGTGCGGGGATGCAGGCAGGTGCGGATCCCTGGTCCCCATTCTGCAGTCCCCGGGGCCAGGAAAGGAAGGGGCCCGCATGGAAGGCAGAGAGAGCCTGCCGGCGGCCAGCAGCTCCTGCGGGTCTGCACTGACCGGACGGGAGTCTCAGGAGGGAGTGTCGGCCGAGACAACTAACAAACCTGCTTTGAATGCCTTCAAAACTTTCTTTGCAAATATATTCATTTGTATCATTTTTTAGGTATAACTGAATCATAACGCTGTGCCCCAGAAAGGAGTAGAACTTTGTAAATCCCAGGATCTCCATTAATAAATTGTAAAAAGAAAACAAAAAACTATGTTTCAGTAAACCCCGCCCCCCAAAAAAACTTCATTTGCAGATTGACTCGGGTCTGCTTCGTCATTTTGTTCAAAAATAAAAGACTCCTCTTCTCCCAAAGGGTGTCAGCTGGCCAGGCTGGCCCCGGGCTCTCAGCCTCAGCTCCGAACACAGGCTTCTTCCCTCAGCTCCCCGTAGTTTCCAGGGGCCAGAGCCCCCCACGTGTGGTGGTCACAGCTCGGAGCCGTCATATCTTGACAGAATAGGGCGGATGACCTGGTTCGGGTGGGACTGGCCGGCGCAGGACCCCTGACTGCGCACCGCGGTTACCTTGTTTTGTCTTGTTCACCAGCCTCTGTGAGTGTAAGTAACCCGCGAATCCATGCAGTTACTAGTCTCACAAGAGTCATCTTAGAACAAGTTGGATTTTTCTCGCCACTGCTTTCTGTGTCTATTCAGCAGGTCCCCCTGCCCCTTGAACAGACAGTCTGAAAACTAGCTTTGCAGGACGTTTCCTGACATAGACAGTAGAAGTTAGATAAGTTCTGAGGGGGTGGCTGGAGCTCGGGGAGAGCACGTGCTTAGCATGCACGAGGTCCTGGGTTCAAGCCCCAGGACCTCCAATAATAAGTAAATAAACAAGTAAATAAACCTAATTCCCCCCCAAAAAAGAAAAAAAATTTTAAATAAATAAAAATAAGTTTTGGGTAGAAAGAAAACAGTCACACATGTGGCTGCGCTGCTGGAGAAGTCTGAGAATTAGGTTGGTTTTATGACAATAAAAGATCTGCAGCCGCCCAACACTGGCCTTCAAGGCGCCGGTTGTGGGGAGACTGGCTGGAGGCCCAGATGCGTGTCTCTCTGCAGGAGGGGGTGAAGACGGAGAATGACCACATCAACCTGAAGGTGGCCGGGCAGGACGGCTCCGTCGTCCAGTTCAAGATCAAGAGGCACACCCCGCTGAGCAAGCTCATGAAGGCCTACTGCGAGCGCCAGGTGCGCATGCATGCGTGTGCCTGCTTGTGCATGTGGGTGTGTGCACATGTGTGCGCATGCTGGTGTGCGTGCGCCTGTGTACGTGCGCAAGTGCGTGTGTGCACCGCCCTTGGGGTGCTCTCTTCCGCCACCTCCCTCCAGGCTGGTGGTCGCTCTGTGTTGAGCGGGCAGGGCCCCCGGTGCCTCTGGTCGGAGGTGCCGTCTTCTTGGTGCTGTTGGAGTCAGAGCAGCGGTTGCGTGTGGGCTCCATCCCTCCTTCGTGTCTGTGGAGATGCTACCCTGGGCACAGTTTGGTGTCCAGACAGTGCTTGATTCTTGCCCATTATTTACCACTTTTCAGGATGAGGAGCAGAGGACCATGCCCTCTCCTGGTGACCAGGCAGACTGACCACTTTGAGGGTCGTTGTGTCCTGAGCGTCACTGTGCCCCGGGCCCCTCGGTCCCTTTGTGCTCTCTGATGGTCCCCTGTACCGTGGTGAGGAGTGGCTGTGCGGGCCCGTGCCCTGCAGCCTGGCCAGCCTCTTCCCCTCCAGGATGCTCTGCAAATACTTGACCTTAGTCTCTGTTTGTGGCTTCGATGGTCCTTGCCTTGGGGTTTTTGTTGTTATTAAAAAAAAAGGACCCTAAAAGAGCCCCAGTCCTTCCTTTTCTTACCCCCTTTCAGATGTTGCTCCTCAGAGAAGATCGCAGCTTTATTTATGTCATTTTAAGCATGGTCTCTACCACTGAGCTACACCCTCCCCCTATGTCATGATTTCTAATTTTCAGAAGTTTTCTGTTTGTTTTCTGAGGCTCCTTTTCCCCCAGCAGACCTTTCTGTTGTTTTCTGTCTCCCTGAGAGCTTCAGAGGTGTGTGCTCATCTGTGTATCTGTGTGTGGTTGTGAGTATATGTCTGTTAGAACACACATGCGTGCGTGCGTGCATGCATGTGCATCTGTGTATGAATGAGAGCGCGTGTCTGTGTGTGTGTGTGTTCTTGAGTCCTCTGACCCCTCCCTTCCCCTGTGCTGCACGCCTGGCTGTGTCGACAGGTCCAGCATGCTGCTGTGGGGTGACCTGCCTGCACTGGTGGTTTGTGGGGGCCCCCAGGTGTTGCCATCTGTGAGTGGTTACATGTTCCGGAAGGCACTGCCCCCCTTCTCCCCGTCGTCTTCCCTCGTCCACCCCCCACCCCCGCCTGTGCCCTGGGAGCATGAAGGGGAGGAGGGGTGGGGCTCAGGGCTGGGACTGGTGGCCACTCATCTGCTTCTTCCACGGTGTCACTGCCTCCCTTGCCTGTTGTCCTGAGCCCGGGGCTCTGAGTCCACCTCTCCAGAGAGTGCACTTTCTGCTGGTGGGAGGAAGTGCCTGACCTCTTGGGGTTGGAGGCCCAGATTAGGGGGTCTGATACAGACTTTCGAGTGGTCATCCCCAGTCAGCTGCCCCTCTGCCTCACCTGCCTGTGTGCCCGGCCCCTTGGCCTCTCGGGGCTCTTGTCTCCCCCCTCCACACCTTGGAGTCTAGTGCCCACAGCTTGCAGCCCAGAGGTGATGTCCTTTGGCCACTGGCCTGTCCCCATCCTGTTCTCTTTGTCCTTGTTGCTGATGCAGTTTTAATTTCTTCATATCGTACTGGAAGGTTTCATGGGGGAGCAGAGATGTGAGCTTCGATCCCATCTGTGCGGGCGAACTGGCCCTGCGCCCTGACCACGAGCACATGGTCCATGCCCTCAGGACGCAGAGAGGCGGCTCCCCGGTCACGCAGGCTTCTCATCGCGTGCCCCGTGGTCACCGGACGTGCTTCTGAGAACTTTTTCTGGGGGAGGAAGTGATGGTGCCGCGGAGTAGAAACTTGGCTCGGCTCGCGGAGGGGAAAGGGGGGTGAGGGCAGCAGGAGCTGAGAAGCAGGGCAGCAGCTCCCAACACGCTATGCTGGGGCGGCCCGGCGTGGGGTCCCGGGTGCGGCTCTGGGACCAGCTGGGCGGTGCGCCCGTGCGCCCAGACGCCTGGCGCCGATGCAGACGTCTGGGTTCTGAATTGAGGTGCTAGCCGGGGGTATCTCACGACGACTGCTTTTTCTTCTCAGGGCTTGTCGATGAGACAGATTCGATTCAGGTTTGATGGACAACCAATTAACGAAACGGACACCCCGGCACAGGTACAACTGCGCACGCGCTGGCGGGCTGCTTCCGACTCGCGTCTGAGCAGCTGCCCCCGGGATGCTCGTGTTTGAGAGTCGCTGATCAGCGCCGGTTTGGAACGCCTCACGTTTTCTTAGTGGTTTTAATTACCATATATATATATTTAACTATTTAATTTCAAGGCTGGGTTTTCCGAAGAAATGTACTTGGCGAGGT